GCGGTGAGTGGCCGGGGCGCGGCAAGGCCCCTGCTGCCGTCCGGCCTGCAGTCCAGTGCTCTGGCCCCGGGGCTTCGGGGAGGTGCTGACCCGGCCCCGTGTCGCAGCCGGGGTGGAGCCGCCGCGGTCTCCTGCGGGGCGGTTGGGCCCAGGGCTGCCCTCCCGCAGCATGTGCCTGTGCGGCCAGGGGGCCCGGGAGGATCCCAGGTGCGTGCGCTGCCCTGCAGCCAAGGATGCTGGCACTTTGCCAGCGGGCAGGAGCCGAGCTGAGCCTTGGCTCTAATCCCCCAGCTAGGGCACAGCTTAGGGCTTGGTGCAGGGGCTGGGAATCGGCCCCCTTGCCATGCTCTGCCTTCGCCGCCTGCTCAGCTCTCCCCTTTCGGGCCCTAGGCCGGGATCACCTTGCCTGGGGAGGAGCTGCAGCCGTGCGACCGAGCCACCAACTCCGCTGACAGGGGCTTCTCCAAGGAGGAGCTGCAGCAGATCCTGCAGGAGCGGAACGAACTCAAGACCAGCCTGTTCCTGGTGCGGGAGGAGCTGGCCTACTACCAGCGGTGAGCCAGGCTGCGGCCCTGCCTGCCCGGTCCAGGGCACGGCACGCACCCTGGGAGCACCGGGGAGGGCAGGTGCAGAGTGGCTTGTGCCTGACGGTCACTTCTCTTGCGCAGCTGAGCCTTTGGCTTGGGGGTGGTCGGTGCCACGCTAACCGCCAGGCTCTGCCCCGAGCCCTGAGGGGAGCGCAACTCCGGGCGACCCTTTCCTCTGCTTCTGGCCCCGCGTGGCCCTGCGAGGCCTTCAGTCCAGCCTGGCCCTGAGTGCCGCCTGCCCCGTTCCTGCAGGGAGCTGTTGAACCAAGAGCACGTCCCTGGGCTGGTGCTGGACGCGATGAAGTCTGTTGTCAAGAGACAGAGGAAAAAAATCCGAGCCAAGATGCTGGGGACAGTGGAGGAGCCGGCGAGCAGGTGAGTCCGGCCGGCGGCAGGGCTGGGCGCCTGGGCTGGGGCAGCTCCGGCTCCAGCTCCACCTGCGCCTGGACGGACTCTGGCTCGGCCTGGCCTGTGACGCGCTGCCTGCTGCAGCGCTGAAGGACTGGGCCGAGGGGCCGCCGGGGCAGGGATGCCCTGCCTTGCCCTGCCGCTCCGGGACGGGCCCGCTCCAGCCTGCGGGTGGACTTCGTAAGCTGCTCAAACTCTGCTCAACTTGTCACCCCACCGTGGGGCTACGCTGCTGGACACTGCTCATCACTGCCACGGGGCTTGGCCCCGCGGGGGAAGCTGTGGCAGCCCCAAGTGCCGTGCAGCACTGGCCACGTGCAGGCCCCTGCCCCAGCTGTCAGAGGCACCTGGCGGGCGCCACTGAGGACAGCAGTGACTGGCTCCCAGGACAGTGGGATCCATGGATGGTGCTGGCAGGTCTGCAGGGAAGGGCTTGCTTGTGCTTGCTGCTTGGGGACTGCTTATGGGGGGGGGCCAGGGCCTCAGCGCGCTCTCCGCTGCACGCACGGGGCTGCACGTACGGGGCTGCACGTGCTCAGGGCTGCACGCACTGCAGGGGCGCGGGGTGGGGCTGTCTGGTGTGCATGTTGCTGGCTTTCAAGTGCCTAATAAAGGGGCCCAGCTTTTCTACAAGGCTTTCCTCCTGCTGCTGCTTCCTGCGGGGCGGGGAGGGGAAGGGAGCAATCCACCCTGTCAAGGGCGAGGGACCAGCACCCCCTCCCAGGGCTCCTGTTTCTGGCCCCCTGGACTGGGCAGGTGGAGGGGAAGCCTTACCTGCGGGGCAGCCACGGGGTTTGGGGCCCTGCATCTGGCAGGAGGCGGGCAGCCCTTCAGAGCAGGCAGGGCAGGCCTGGACAGCCCAGAGGGCCCCATCTCGGGGCCCCGTCCCGGTGCTGCTGCTGCAGCCCTCCAGCAACCCCGTGCCCTGCCCTGCCCTGCCCTGCCCTGCCCTGGCAGTGTGACCTCCCCAGCTCTGGGCAAGCCGCGTGCTGCAGGAGCTGAGTGCTCTGGGATGATGTGCACACCCTGCCTGGCTCTCCTGTACAGGGGGTATCTCCCCCTGCCCTGCCCTGCCCTGCTCTGCTCTGCTCTGCTCACCAAGCACCCCCAGCCTGCAGTCAGGGGCAGGGTGCTCTGGTTCCTGTGACCTGGGCTTGTCCTCTCCGGGGCCACAGCTGCCTCAGCCCCTGCCTGTGTGGCTCTGTCCCTCCTGGCCGTGGGGAGCGCCTTGTCCTTTATCTGCCAGCTGCTCGGGCTTTGTCTTCCCCGGCCCTGTCCTGGGCATCCCAGGCTGGCTGCGCTGACCAGACGCTGGGCCAAGAGCCTCTTGCAGCTGCGGTGCAGCAAAGGGTGGGCAACCTCCCCACCCTGGTGACCCAAGTGCCAGGCTGTCACCCCTCTCAGGCAAGCAGCCAGGCTTGTGCCTCGGCCCTGCTGAGGCTCTCCTAGAGCTGGCTCCTTGCACAGGTTCTTCCTTGTGTCCAAAGCTATCCTGGCTGCAGCTATTGAGCATAGCTGCCTTCCTCGCTGTGCCTGGCCTCAAGGCTTTGCCAGGCCCTGCCAGCACGGGCCCCACGCCCCGGGCACATGTACTGTGTTCGGCCCCTGCCCTGCAGCATCTGCGACACTGGGGTCTCCATACAGTGCCCTCGGGCAGGGCTGGAGCCTGTCCATGCTGGGGCTGCCATGCAGTAACGTCTGGGGACAGACTCTGCCACCAGCGAGGGAGGGCTTTCCCTGCCCTCCCGGATGGACAGATGGCAAATGACTGGTCCCTGGAGCCATGTCGGCTGGCTGGAGATGGGGCAGACGCACTCCTTGGGGAGGACTGGGCAGCGGGAGAGCCCTGGCTGCAGGCGCTCTCGCGCGGCTCATGGGAATGTCCCTCGCACTCCATGAATCTGCCCTGGGCCGGAAGGGCCCGTGCAAACGTGTGCGTGGCTTCCAGTAGCGTGTGCTGGGCAAGGGAAAGAGCAGCACGTGTGCCCAGCTAGTGGCAGGAAAGGAGCCTGGGGGCATATCCACTGACTGAGATGCGGGCGCTCCCTGGTTGCGAGGACCGTGGGGCTCAGCAGTCTCCAGATGTGGCAGGGACGCCTGTCGCTGCAGAGAGGGCTGCGACCCCAGGGGCCGTTTCTAGCTCTGTGGCCATGGCAGCCGCTCCATGCCCCAGGACAGGAGGCAGGAGCCCAGTTGGCCGCAGTCTCTTCCCTGCTCAGGGTCTTGGCCCCATGTCTGACTTCTCCTTTGCACGCTAGTGGTAATGATGATGATTATGACGATGACGATGACAAGGGCTCATGGCTCCCGGCGCCCGAAGCAGGCAGTGTGGGCTCTCACACCCCTGGCTCCAAAATCAGAAGCTTGTAAGTCTCTCCCGAGATTGCGGCTGTGGGGGCATGGAGGCGGGTGGCCTGGGGCGGGGTGGGGAGGAGGTCAATGGCAGCGGGAGGAAGGAGCGCCCTGAGGCACCAGCTGCGATGGCAGTACCAGCCTGGGCTGTTCCTGTGCATGTGCCTGTGCAGCGCAGGATCTGGCGGTGGAGCTGCCAGGTAGACGGTGCCCGCGGCGTGGCGCAGCACGGCCCGTGTCAGAGCTGCCCCGGTGCCAGACGGCTGCTCCGGGCACTTGGCAGGTGCCTCCCAGGCAGTGACAGGACAGCTCTGGCCACCGCTTGGCCTGGCTGGCTTGGCTCACAGCTCCAGCACCTGCACCTCGGGCCCCTGGGAGCCTGCCCCCCACTCACCCATGGGTTCTCCTGGTTTTCCTGCAGTTTTGGCCTGTGGTATCGTGGCAGCAGCAGCTCGGACGCTTCCAGGTCAGGCAGCGCTGGAGCGTGGGAAATCATTGACTCGCAGGATGTGTGCGCAGAGCAGGATGGACGTGAGCCTGTGGCCAGTGTCCCTGGCGAGCCAGCGAGCGAGTGAGCGGGGACCTGGCCTAGCCCAGCTGTGGCCCTCTCCCTCCACCCGGTGCCCAGGACGCGCTCGCGGATGACGCGGTGGCCTCGGGTGCGCTTGTGGCATTGCTCTCCACGTCGCACAGCCAGTTCCCGCCGTGGCTGCAGAGGCAGTGTTGGAGCAAGTTCCAGCATGGGGCATCCTCACCACTGGTCTGATGGTGCTGGGCAGCAACTCGCAGCCCAGTGTCCCGATGCTGTGCATCCCCGCCTGTTCCCATCGCCAGCCCGGACACATCCAGCTGTCGGACGACTGCCTTGGCTTTGTGCCCTCTGTGCCAGTGCTGCGCCTTGTGCCCCAGGAGCAGGACGAGGCACGTTCCTCGCGGCAGCAGGTTGGCTCAGCCGTGTGGGCAGTGTGGGACGCAGACGTGTTGGCAGGCCTCGGGGTCCAGCCCTTTGGGTGACAAGATTGTGGCCAGGATGCTGCTTTCTTGCTGTGGGCCTGGGATCAGCCCCAGAAATAAACTCGTTGGGTGCTGCGCCGTGCCCGTGTTCTTGGCGGCTGGCCGTGCCCGCGGCTGGCAGGGACGCTGTTTGGGCCCCGGCGGGTCGTGCCGGCACCAAGGGGCATCCTGTTATGGAGTCACCTCTGGCTGCCCTGTGCCTGGCTGCTCCCTGCGGTGCCAGCTGAGGGTCCAGCCTTCACCTCAGCCCCAGAGGGCTGTTACCTGGGCACGTGGCAGAGCCCCCTCCCCAGTGCTGGCAGGGAGCTGCCTTGTCTGGTCAGTGTTTGCTGCTCTTGTGGCTCCAGCCCTGGAGGGGTTGCAGCCCAGAAAGTGCCTGGGGGTGCTGCTGGCCCAGTGGCCCCCGACCTGCTCCACCTCATGCTCACGGGGCAGGAAAAAGATGTTTCCTGTGCATCCGCTGCTGCGGCGCCAGGAGCGGTGGCTGAACGGCAGGGGCTGGAGACATGCCAGCCCGGTCCCTGCAGCCCGTGCTGGCTTCCAGGGGGGAGTGGGGCTGGTGGAGGCCTAGGCCTTTCCCACAGCTCCATCGTGCCCCGGAGGCCGGATGCACGAGGCCGTGCCGTGCCTGCCTGGCCCGTGGGGGATGGCAGCACCCAGGGCTGTGCCCAGGGTGAGGGAAAAGGTATGGGGCGCATGGAGGAGCCAGGCGGCGCAAGGCCTCCCTTGTGCCCGGCTCAGCGCAGCAGGGTGGAGGCTCAGGCCGAGGCACTGGGAAGCTCTGGCCTCCGCCGGCCGTGTGGGCATCTGGCATGGGCCAGCAGTGAGGCAAAGACCTGGGGAAAGCCCGTGCGAGCCCAGCCTGCCTCCCTGCCCCCTTGGCGCGAGGCTTTCTCATCTCCTCCCTCCCGCGTTTCCTCAGGAAGCAGAAAGGAGGAAACTCAAAGCCAGGGAGAGGAAGCTCAAAGCCAGGGAGAGGAAGCAGGCGAACCGGAGGAGACGGGCAGGCTGGACGGCGAGCACTGCGCTGGGCAGCCCGGCATGGCGCGGCTGTGGGTGCTCTTCTGCCTCCAGCTCCTGCCCTGGGCCTGGGGCTCTGCGCAGGAGCTGGACGCAGCCGGGAGGAACGTGTGCGCGGACGAGAGGTAAGACGAAGGCCGGGCGGTGGGACGCGGGAAGGGGAACGCTTCCTTGGCCGTGGGGCAGGATGGGCGAGGGTGGGAGGCAGCCGTGCCCATGTGGGGCGGGGAAGGGGCCTGGTACCACAGGTCATGCAGGGGGAGCAGAGCAGCTGACCAGTGCCTGGGCGATGGACTTGTACTGGTCAGGGGCCCAGCGGGACGCCTGTGGGTGTTGCGTGGCCCAGGCCCGGGCATAGGCCTGGCAGTAGTGCGTGGCCCCTGGCTCCCCAGGGTGCCACGTGACGCCTGTGCAGAGCCAGGCAGCCCCGTCCCTCGGAGCCACCCGGGGCACGTGGGATCTGAGGGGGGTCTCGTGTCCTTGCCCGGCCCCATGCAGGGGCTGGGCGGCTGTGTCTCTGCCCCAGGCTCTTGGGGGTTGGGAATCCCTGCAGGTGCCGGCCCTGCCCTGCCCTGCCCTGCCCTGCCCTCGGGCGCTCGTCGCCCATCCCGCCCGTGGCGGCAGAGCCCTGTGCTGCTCCCGCCTCGCCAGGGAGCCGCTCGCGGGGCCGAGGCTGCGGAGCCCCAGTGCCTGGCGGGGGTGAGCCATGGGCCGTGGCGCCACGTAGGCAGGGCTCGGCCACCGGGCCAGGCACCCCCCTGGCTTCCCGCCCGTGCTGGCTCCCTGCCCGGGGCCCTGCCTCCAGGTGCTCCGGTCCTTGCCTCGGCCTCAGCCTTGGCCTCGGCCTTAGCCTCGGCCTCCTTCTGGCCCAAGCCCTGTGGATTTCCAGGCTGCGCCATCTCCGGGCAGCGTGTGGCTCCCTACAGCAGCCCCGGCCTGCGCCCGGCTCAGGCTCACGGCGCGCTTTCCCCACAGGGTTCCCACGGGCCTGGCGTGCTGCCCTGGCTGGAGGCAGGAAGGCAGGGAGTGCCCGGCTGGTGAGTGACCAGGCTTCAGCCCTGCAAGGTGCCCAGTGGGGCTGGCGGGCTGCCAGCTCTCGGGGACGGGGTTACGGCAGGCCAGGGGTGCCCGGCTGGGATGGATGGGGCCGGGCGTGGGAGAGCTGCGCTGAGCTGCCCGTTGCTGCTGTGACAGCACTGTGCGAGGGCGAGGACGCCTGCGCGGCTGACGAGGTGTGTGTGAAGCCGGGGGTCTGCCGCTGCAAGCCTGGCTTTTTCGGGGCCCACTGCAGCTCCCGTGAGTACGGCGGGGCCGGAGGAAGGGGTTGGGGGACGGGCCCACCTCCTCCCTGCCCCACAGACGCAGGCAGATGGGCGCGGCCGTTCCCACTGCCCGAGGGCCTCGGCGATGGACAGCTCCTGTCCTGTGCCTCTCCCATGGCGCAGGAGCCCTGTGGAGCTGCCAACTGGCCCCGGCGTAGCCTCGGCTCCAGCTGCTCTCCTCTTCCCTTCGCAGGCTGCCCTGAGCAGTACTGGGGCCCTGACTGCAAGCAGAGCTGTCTGTGCCACCCGCACGGGAAGTGCAACCCCGCCACCGGCCACTGCACGTGCTATGCCAATCGCTGGGGACCTCTCTGCCAGTTCCCATGCCCGTGCGGGCCTCACGGTCGCTGCCACCCCCTCACCGGAGCTTGCCTGTGCGAGCCGGGCTGGTGGGCACCGACCTGCAAGCGGCAGTGTCAGTGCAACCTGTCTGGCTCCCGCTGCGACCCCGCCACCGGGCAGTGCCTCTGTGCCCAAGGCTGGTGGGGCAGGCGGTGCGGCTTTCCGTGCTCCTGCCACCTCTCCCCGTGCGCTCAGGACTCAGGGAAGTGCGAGTGCAAGGTGGGGTCCTGGGGCCCGTCATGCCAGCACCAGTGCGACTGCCTGCACGGGAGCTGCAGCCCTCTCACTGGGTCCTGCACCTGCAGCCCTGGCTACCAGGGCAGGAGCTGCAGGGACCCCTGCCCAGCCGGGCACTATGGACCGCAGTGCAGGCACAGGTAAGAGCAGCACTGCTCTGCACCGGCTCCCAGGAGGGGCTGCCCAAGAGCCTCGCGGCCCAGGCGCGTGCCCCGCGGCCCAGCCACGCTGGGGGAGGTCAGTGCTGGGACCTGAGCCCGGCTCTTGCCCATGAAGGAGCGAGAGGAAGAGGAAGCTGTGCCGGGGCTGGGAGGCAGGCTGACCCACCGCACATGCCCCTGGGGAGTCCCTGTTGTGGGCTGCTGACCAGGGTGGAGGAACAGGCAGCTCAGTTCTCCATGGGGCAGCCCCGTAGGGTAACGGCCTGACCCGAATTGGGCTGGACAGTCCGGAAATGGGCGCATAAAGTCCTGATCCCGGGCTGCGGGACAGCACGCGTCCCAGACTGGCGGTATCGTGCAGGGATCGGGGTTTTCCGTTCTCAGTGGGAAACGTTGCCCCTGCAGGCGGGCAGTTCCAGCAGTGCAGGGCTGCCCGGGGTGCAGGGGGAGCGGGGTGCAGGGGCACCGCGTGTGCATGCACACATGCATGTGGCAGCCAGGCAGGGTGGAGAGCAGCTTTGCAGGTAGGCCGGGGGTGCGGGCGCAGATTGAGGCCCCCACCGTGAGGGAGGGGGTAGGGCTGGGGCTGGGGCTGGGGGTGCTAACCGCTGTGGCAGCAGTGCAGGGACATGGGGCTGGCCCGAGCAGGGCCCCGTGGGACTTGGAGCCCCGAGTCCACAGCTGGCAGCCAGGGGGCAGAGGCGGCGGGCATGCGTCCTGCCTTCCTGTTGTGACACGGCTCTGCCGCGTGCTGGCTCCGCCGGCCCAGGGAGGTCTCGTTGAGCCGCTGCTGCCCCCGCAGGGACTGCACGGGGCATTGCCTTCGGGTGGAGCCTCCCCTGCCCTTGCGCCCAGCTGCGCTCTGGGCTGGCGGTGCGGGGGGGAGGCCGTGCGGGGGTCCCTGCTGCATGTGCAGGCCCAAGGCTGGGCCTGGCGAGGTGGTCGCGGCTCCAGTGTCGGGTCGCCGATGGCTGGGGTGCTGCTGCGTGGGGCAGAGGACTGGGGCCTCCGCTACCCCCGGTCCAGCCCCGCTGCCTGCCACACTGATCACCCCCTTCCCGCTGGTCACCTGGCAGCTGCGGGCACTGCAAGCGGAGCCAGCCCTGCTCGCCCACGGATGGGTTGTGCCTGGCGTGCGAGCCGGGCTGGAACGGGACCCTGTGCAACCAGCCCTGCCTGCCTGGACACCACGGGGAGAACTGTTCCCAGGCCTGTCCCCAGTGCCGGGGTGGGGAGACCTGCCACCCGGAGACCGGCACCTGCCAGGACTGCGATCCCGGCTGGACAGGACCCAGGTACGGGCCCTGCGCTGGGCGGGACGCGGCCGCCAGCTCCTTTCTGGTCTCAGGCGTGTGCAGGGAGCATGTGGGAGCTCCCCCTCCCCCCCGAGCTGCCTCCAGAGACCCGACTCTGGCCCTGCTAGTTGCCCACGTGTCCCGTCTGCGAACAGCCACAAAACCGTGATGGCTGGTGCCCTCAGGCAGGGGGAGCAGAGGCAATCCTGCACCCTGTGAGGCCCTTATACCAGCACCCTCGTGCCTGCAGGCTCTCCCGGTCTCCCAGCTCTTTGGTGCTGTCGGCATCTGTGTTCCCGGAGGGGTGGGATGGGGCAGGCTGTGCTGTGAGCCCGTCAAACCAGGTGCAGAGCAGGGTGCATCCCAGCCTCGGTCTGTGCGCCAGTCCTATCTGATCTCCCTGCAGCTGCGATGCGCCCTGCCCGGATGGCACGTTTGGGGACAGGTGCCAGCTCCCGTGCCTGGTGTGCATCAATGGGCGCTGCGACCCGGTGTCTGGGGAGTGCGTCTGCCAGGCTGGCTACTGGGGCAGCAGGTAAGAGCAAGGGGCGCGTGGGGCAGAGCCAGCCCGTTCCCACAGGGCCTCTCCCAGCTCTCTCTGTCCCCACAGCTGCAATGAGACCTGTCGGGACGGGTTCTTTGGCGTGAACTGCTCGTCCCCCTGCCCGTGTGCGGGGGGCCCCTGCCACCCGCTCTCCGGGGACTGTGCATTCGGTGAGTGACGCCCTGCCCTGCCCTGCCCTGCCCTGCCCTGCCCGCACCACTTCCCTCCTTTTCTGGAGCCAGCAGCTCCCACTCCCCGGCCTCTGTTCCCACCTCCGCGGCTTTGGCTTCCTGCTGCAGTGCCCTCCCCGTGGGCCCGGATGGTGCAGAGCCTGTCGTGCCAGGCACATCCGAGTGGGCTGGGCTGGGGTCTGCGCTGGCAGAGAGAAGGGCCCACCTCTGCAGCGCTTTACCTGGACTGCAGCCCTTGCTCTGTCGCCGGGTCTGTGCCCAGCCTGCAGTCGGGCAGCGCTGTCATCCAGAGCGTGTGAGCAAGGGCAGAGCCACCTGCCTGCTTCTGCAGCAGAGCTGTTCCTCCAAGCCCGCCCCAGCGATGAGAGGGACCCAGGCTTGATGCTCCCTGGCCATCAGCAGGGCGCATTGCTCTGCCTGTTGGGGGGGGGGCAAGGCCAGTGCCGGGCACGGGTCCCAAACTGTGCTGGCCCCATCCCAGGGGTCTGGTGCTGCTTGGCACTTGCCGGGCTGCAGCTGCTGTAGCTCGGCCCTGCTGCACCGGCAGTCCAGGACCTCACCCCGGGCTGCCTGGCCTCTCCTGCAGGGTCTCGCTACCAGGGCGCCCTGATTGCAGGCGTGCTTGTCCCACTGCTGCTTCTGCTGCTGTGCGTCGCCTGCTGCTGCTGCTGCGGGACCGGCCCAGTGGAGGCGAGGGACAGGTACATGGAGGACCTGCCTGGGGCAGGGAGGGGAGCGGCTACGGGCTCTGGGCTGGCACGGGCCAAGCAGAGCCACCCGAGGCACGAAGAGGAGCGGTAGCAGCTCCCCCGGAGCCGAGGCCTGGGGGACTTGCATGCTCCCGCTGAAGCCCATTGTGCTGCACTGCGCCTCCCTGAGTTGCCCGCTCCTCCTCCTGGGCAAGTCGGCCCAGGGCCCCAGCACTCGAGCCTGGGCAGAGCTGGGGTGTCTCAGCTCCGGGCTGTGGGAACGTGCGGACCCATCGGCATCCCTCCTAGCATCCAGATCTGGGCCACTTCCTGCAGTGACCTGCAGGTGTGCAGACAGGGCCTCCGGGACTCGCGCAAGGGGCAGAGATGGGGTTGCTGCCTGGGGGCTTCTCCCGGCCGGGCCACGCTGCACGGCTCCCGGGGGCAGGGGGCTCCCCCCTGCCAGGAGCCGGGCTTCTCCACCTGCCCTGCTCTGTTCCTGCTCCCCAGGGCAGCCGTAGCCGACGCGGACGTGCTGTCCCGAATGAAGCACCACGTGCAGGGTGTGCTGGCCAACCTCAGCTCCATGCTGCCTTGCTTCTCGCTGGGGGGCTACAAGCTCCCCCGGGTCACAGGTAAGAGCGGGGCTGTGGGCTCTGCCTTGCCTTGTCGGGGCCTTTGCAGCCGGGGTGGAGGCGCCTCCTGGCACGCAGGGGCTGGGCTGGCGGCACCCCGAGCCCTTTCCACCAGCACCACCATGAACGAGCGAGCGACTGCCCCAGAGGTGGTGCAGCCTGTGGGCAGCGGGGAGGTGGCAGCCAGCCTGGCACGGGGTCCCGATGGGGTCGCTCCTTCCCTTGCAGTCTCGCACCACGACGCCGAGATTCCCTTCAACCCCAGCTTCATCGAGCAGCCCTCTGCGGCCTGGGCCTCGGACAGCTCCTTCTCCTCCTTCGACTCGGACGACGATGGCCCGGCCTACTCCGTCCCTGCCCTTGCCGTGGAAGGTAATGCTGCTGTGCTTGGGCGCTGTCTCCGACCCTGGGCGAGTCTCCCTGGGGCAGTCGGTCCCCTGGCGCGCAGGCCTTTGTGCGGGGTGACTTTTGCTGCCTGCACACGTAGGGTTGGGTGGGGGGGTCAGCCCTGGGAAACGGCACTTGCTGGGTCTCCTTCTATGTGAAGCTCCAAATCTTCCTGTCCCTGCTTTTCCCTCTGTGCTGGGAAGCCGAGGCTGCCTCTGCACAGTCCGCTCAGGGCTGCTGCCGGGGGTGTCCGAGCTGTGCACCCCCAGATGCTGTTCATCTCGAAAGCTGCTCTCTGGAGACAGCTCAGGGCACCTGGGCGTCCACAGCAGCCCTGCGTTAGGCCTGCGTTGGGCCCCCCATGGATGTGTGGGAGCCTTCGCCTCCACCCTGCCCCATAAACCCAGAGCCTGTCAGTGGGTGAAGGAGACGTGACCCCAGTGGCCCTCGTGCTGGGAGCTACGGCCCCCTGGAGCCCTGCCTGGGGCCAGGAGCAGATGGCCTCGTGCTGTGACCCCGTGGCAGGAGGTCCCGTCGTGTGCTGGGAGCCTTCACCCCCCTCTTCCTTGTCCTCAGACGTGCCCGCAGGCTCTGAGCCTCAGGAAGGCGGCTCCCCAGGGAACGAGTTGCCCGACGCAACGGCCTTTAACTCGGAAGAGGTCTCCCAGCCATTCATCATCCCCCGCACGTCCAGCATTGCCAAGGCCAAGAGGCCCTCGGTGTCGTTTGCCGAAGGCACTAAGTTTGGCCCTCAGTGCAGAAGCGGCTCTGTGGAGATGCCCAGCGCCTCCCGGAAGCCCAAGGCCTCTTGGGGTCTCCCCAAGCCCCCCCTGGCCGACGCGGATGAGAGTGCCCAGCCAGGTGGGCGGCCCAACGACTACGAAAACGCAGAGCCCATTGCCACGGGGGAAGACGGCCACCGGCCCTCGCCCCGGAGCACCCCAGGGGGCCGGAGGAGGGTGGTGCCCAGCACCCGGCATGTGGCCCAGAGGGTGGAGGCCCTTGAGGCAGCTTCGAAGCTGGAGCAGAACATCACGACGATTTACATGACGGTGGGCACGGCGAGGAGGGGCACCCGGCACAGCGGGGGTGGCCAAGGGAGCGGAGAGGGGCCGGTGCAGGCGGTTCTCAAGCGGCTGGGCAGTTTCCAGAGAGGGAAAAGGGCCTCCAAGGAGGAGCCCAAAGTGCGCAGAGGCCCCGAGAGCATCCAGAAGCCTCCCCGGCGGGCCCTGGGCCAGGAGAGGGTCTCCACCCCCACCCCTCCCCAGCAGGGAGAGGGCACCAAGGGCCTAGGCCTGGGCACCGCTGAGTCCCCCGCAGAGCACCAGCAGCACGGTCCTGGGCAGAGACCGTCTCCCATCCCCGCACCGCCTGGGCTTTGGGCCGCGGACGCCCAGGGGGAAGACGAGGCCGAGAGGAGCGAGGGGCCCGAGCAAGCTGGAAAGCTAGAAGCCAACGGGCAGGCGGCAGCTGAGGAAGAGGAGCCGAAGTACGAGAACGTGACTCCCTATCACAGCAGCCTGCCTCGCAGCCCCTCGGGCGAGCCCCCCGCCACCACCGCAGAACATGAGGCCAGCCCCTGAGACCCGCGGGGCCAAACCCTGCCCCTGCTGCTGACCTCGGCCTCCCGCAGCAGAGCCAGAGCCGGGCAGGCCTGCAGCTCCTCTGCCCCCAGACTTCCCTCCCGGACACGCTGCACTAGCTGGATCCGTGCCTCGTGCCTCCCTTGAGCCCGTGCCCCAGGTCAGGGGCTGTGTTGTGCTCCCAGCAGGCAGCCTGCCCAGCACAGCACAGCACTGGCACCTGCTGGGCCACGGAGACCTACACGTGCAAGGGGCTCGTTGCCAGGCACGGGCAGGCCGGGCTTCTCGGCCCCAGCGCTGGTCAGACATGACTGCCCCGCGACTGCGTGGAAAGCCTGGGCACTGACCTTGGTTCAGCTGCTCCTGGGCTTCCCCCGGCGCGGGGGATGCCCAGGCTTCCCAGGCAGCCACCTCCGCTCTGCAGGTCGTAGGGCGGTTTGGCTCCCCTGGGCTGGCTGCAGCTGGCAAGGTGCAGCTTCTCCAGGGCTCCCGCTGCCTGCCAGGGCTGCCCCTGCTCCCTGGGAGCCTAGCCCCCGGCCTCCCCAGCTCCCGGGGCTGGGCCTCCTTTGCCACCTGCAACTTTTGCTGCCTTAGGGGTGCTGGCAGGACCTGCTGCATGGGCCCACTTAGGAGTGGCTCCCTGGCGCCGCGAGGCCTGGGCCCGCGTGCCGTGAGCTCGGGGATGGGACTTGTTCCTGGCGCTGGAGCTGCTCCAGCTGCACCGCCAGGGCACGTGTGCCCCCACAACGGCGGGCAGGGGCCTGCAGCCGCGTACGCAGCCTGGTGCTGGGAGCCAGCAGCCCGCCGTCCGAGGGTGGTTCTCGGGAGTGGGAGTGCTGGCTTGGAGGGGCTGTTAGGAAGGGGGGCTTTTTGGTTCCCTGTGCTGCATGGGGATGGAAGCAGCCCGGGCACGGTTAGTTTTAGCTGTTTAGCTGCAGCGATGCAGGCTCCCGCAGGGCTCCTGAGCGGCGTTGCCCTCGTGCCCCAGTCCCTCCAGCTCCAGCCCGTGTGTGAAACATGGCGCTGCTGTGGCACTGCCGCCCCACGTGTAAGGGGCTGCATGCTGTGAGCAAGAGGGGGATTCCTGCCCATCCGGACCCGGGTCCAGTGCCACCCAGCCACGGCGCTGGCCTGCTGTGCAAAGCTCGTGCCAGCGCGAGGCTCGGGGACCCGGGCAGCGTCCTCGCTCCTGCCCTGGGCCTTCCTGCGGCCCTGTCTTGTTGGCTGGGACTCATCGCGTGTGTTTGCAGACACGAGAGAGCGCGGCAGGGTTGGGAATGCCTTGCAGCGAGCAAGCGTGGGCCACGGCTCCTGTCGCGGGGAGTCATCCTGCGCTGAGGGCGCTGGATCTTGTCTTGGGGCTGCCAGGCTGAAGCTCTCCCCAGTGCGGATGCGGCGCCCGCTGTTTCCTTGCCGGCGGCGGCGAAGTCCCAGGCAGGGGCTTTCCTGTTTTGCAGTTGCGGTGGGGGCGAGACCAGGCGCTTCTGCCCTGTGCCCTGGGGCTGCGGCCGCGGCCCAGCCCGGTTTCTCCCGGGCAGCTGCCGTGTCTTTTGCGGATACTTTATGGCAGGCGCGGGAAGCATCTGCCCGTGTCCGTGCAGCCGTGTGCCCGGTCCGCTGCGCTGCTTTCGAGCCCCGGCGCCGCATTTCTCCCCTCGAGTAAGGGCTGTGTGTGCTGCGCGCCCGGCTCGGCGCTGGCTGCCGGCTCGTACTGGCCGTCGCCGCTCGCAATCAGCTGTCAGCCGCGGAGGAGAGCTTCGCCCTCATTAAAATGTCTTCTGTGCCCACGGCTGCCGTTTGCTCCGCGTTTCCCGGCTCGGGGAGCCGCGGCGGGGCCCGCACCTTTCCGGCGGTGGCCCCGGTCCTGCAGGCCGGGGCGGGGGGTCGCGGGCGGAGAGCCGGGCGCGCCGTTG